GGAGCAGGAAGGCTGACGTTTCGGGCCTAGACCCTTCATCAGAAATGCTCCATTTGTTACAAATACAGGCTCTTATGTCTTTGTTTGAAAGATAGTCTGCTGTTTCTTTAAAGTAAGAAATGCAAATTCCTACTGCAACTGCCGCTGGATAAGGCATTCGTGCATAAAATTTCTACCCATTGTGAACAACATTTTCTTAAACCATAAGACAGAGGAGCAGAATTAGACCATTCAGCCTATCAAACCTGCTCCACCATTTGATCAAAGCTGATATGTTTCATATAGAATCCCGACAGTGCAGAAGAGGCCATAAAACCTATCGAGTCTTCACCGACCTTCCAAAGAGTTGCGCTCAGACCCACTCTTATATCGCATTTACCATGTCCAACTCATCTAAACTGCACACCTTTGGACTGTGAGAGGAAACTACAGCAGCCAGAGGAAACCCACAAAGACACGGGGAGAATGTGCAAACTCCACACAGACAGCTACCCAAGTTTGGAATCGAATATGGTCCCTAGAACTGTGAAGCAGCAGTGCTAATCTCTCCCCCTTAATCCATGATCCTTTTACTCATCAAGAAGATAGTTACCTTTCCCTTAATTATACTCAATGACTTGGCCTCCACAACCTTCTGTGGCAAGGATTTCCACAGATTTACCACCTTCTGGTTGAAGTAAGTCCTCCTCATCTCAGTTCATCACTTTACTCTGAGGCTATGCCCTCACGTCCCAGTCTCTCCTGCCGGTGTATACACATTTTCCATGTCCTCTCTATTCAGGAAAAAAATCAGAAGTTGCTGGAAAAGCTCAGCAGGTCTGGCAGTATTTGTGAAGAAAAAATGAGAGGTAACATTTCAGAAGGGTCACCGGACCCAAAACATTAACTCTGATTTTTTTTTCTTCATAGATGCTGGCAGGCCTACTGAGCTTTTCCAGCAACTATTGTTTTTGTTCCTGATTTACAGCATCCGCAGTTCTTTCAGTTTCCTCTCTATTCAGGCCTGTCAGTATTCTGTAAGTTGTCCTTCGAAATTCCATCTAGTACAGACCCAGAGTCCTCAACCTGGCTTTACATGACAGGCCCTTCATTCCCAGGATCATTCTTGTAAACCTCCTGCCACTAACTGGATATATTTCAAGCACATTCTCCCCGTGTCTGCATGGGTTTCCTCCGGGTGTTTCGGTTTCCTCCCACAGTCCAAAGATGTGCAGGTTAGGTAGATTGGCCATGGTAAATTGCCCACAGTGTTCAGGGATGTGTAGATTAGGTGGGTTACAGAGGGATGGATCTGGGTGGGATGCTCTGTGGTTCCGTGTGGACTTGTTGGGCCGAAAAGCCTGCTTCCACACTGCAGGGATTCTATGATCTATGATCTACACTTGACCTCCAAAAATGCCTCGATGACACCACGAATGCATGACACCTGAACACCAACAGGATACTATTGCAGGACACTTGAACTACCAAAGGTGGCAGCATAGCGCGTACACCATTGCCCCAAATAGCTCCTACGCCAATGGGATCAGGTCAAGTATGGACAAAGATGTCCTGGTGCCCACTCCCTCAACCACTGACAGACCGAGGTTGACACATCAGTGCTCCCCAAAGACAATTAGCAACTGTGCAAAGCACTGAGGTGTGGAAGGACACAAAATACATTTCATTCAAATAATGTGGACGTCATCGGCTGGCCAGCTTTTATTGCCCAACCCTAACTGCAGTCAGCCATATTGCAGTGCATCTGGAATCACATGCAGGCCAGACCATGTAAGGATGGCAGATTTCCCCTTC